GAAATTTAAGATATAACGAGGCAACCCTACCGAGATGAATACGGGTGAAGGACAGTTGGTCCTTCCTTGATCGATGGATGGAAATGGTCTTGTTTTTAAAATTCGATTTGAGCAGAGGAGGAGGAGCAAAATGTGACAATTGGAGCCTCATTTGGTTGACATCAGCAAACAAATAGAGATATTCACATTTTTGGGACAAGAGTAAAGGTGGCGAGATGTCGTAGCCTCTGATTTCCACTTTCATGGCTATGCGATCAGAGATGACTAAGGCTGCGGGGGATCACAAGCACACAGAACAAGATCGCATAAATCTTCATTACATGACAGCCTTCTTCTTGCCTCTGCTGGTGCCAGTCTAGGGAGTTTTAGAAGGCAGTTTTCCTATGTCCAAGCGACGAATGGTCTAAATGGTGTGAAGTCACGCGTGTGGGTCGGAGGGAGGGTAAGCAGATGAAGTGGGGGAGGGGGAGAGAGACGACATGTGTCTGAGTCCTCTGTTAGACCCGCGTCCCGGACACTCCATCGCCTCACATACATTTCCTTCCCAAAAGTTGCCCTACTTTACACTCCTTCCATCTTCCAAAGCGAATTCTTGTCTGAGAGTAAATGTTCGGAACTGGGTTTACTTTCTGTCCAATCTACTGATTAAATTACCTACCGAATTTTGTTCAGCTTCCTTTTGATTTTATCCTCTATCTAGTGAATCGTCTTTGGAATCATCCACAGCCAACTTCCCTCCCATCAGTCGAGCTATCCACTAGCCATTTTATATCTGCACTTCCCTACCCTTCAGTCACCTCTCTCATCTTTACCTGTGACACATTAAAATGAAAACGAAGTGAAGGATTGAGAAAGCAATTTGTTTTACGAAGCAGTCGCTACAAGAGAAGGGGGAGCGGGGGAGCACAAAACATCCACATAGATTGATTTAATCTTGTGCTCAGTTTTCACAACCAATGGAGACTCTCATCGTTACCTTAATTACACAAGTTTTTTGATGATTTGTTTTGCTTAAAAATTATTTAATCAACTCTCCTTGTTTGAATGGAGACCACGTTTTTATGAGGCCTTCTAATTTTCTAAAGCTTCTAACATGAATGCAATAAGTGAATGAAAAAATACCACTTTAACTAATGACTCGGAGACAAATCATGAACGAGTAATTGTGTGCTCTACTGCATTCGATTCGTCAGGTCTCTTCCATCACACTAAAGGGCTGCACAAGCACACACCACTCACGAGTTAGGTTGTCGACCTACGAAGACACTCAGCGGCACATCGATCAGGCGCTTTGCGGAGGCTCGTCAATCACCGCTTTACTGTTTGCTGAGCTTGTGGGATGAGGGCGCCAAGATGTACTTGAATTTTGAGGTCTTACGACTGCTGCTTATTGCACCGAAAACATCTGAAGTAAAACAAGTGCTGATAAAAAAATGCGGAATTTATTAGCTATTGGGTCAAATGTTTACCTTGAGGTGCTTCTCCAAAAAAGCCAATGCGTTTATAGTACTCTTTTTCACTCTGCCCACTTACCGATGGAATTCGCAAAAAAATGCCAAAAAATTGGTTCATGAATGCTACTAACTTGGAAATAAGTAGGCGTCGATCGGCAGAGTTAAGTTTGGCGATTGCTTCCAGCATTTGTGATGCTGAACCAAATTCTCATCCACTTAAAAGGCCAAGTGTGTTTGAGTCATCATTCTGCCATTTAGGGTTTTAGTCTTTCATGAGAGGTTTCTCTCCTGTCTAATGGGTAAACAGCATAAAGGGAGTTTGATTGAACCTTTTCTTGACAATTAGGCTTGTGGTTTTGACAATACGCTATACCCGGAAAGGAGCACTTTTCACCTAAACATAAAAAGCATTGCCTGACTGTGTTATATAGGTGAGTGGTTTTGTTCATTTTAAGATCGGAAGTTGATCAAGCTAAACAATTCGGTTGAACCTTATTAGAAGCTGTTTCGTGTACACGATGGGTTGTTTTACATAAGCTCTAGTAACCTCTTAAGAGGGAGCGGCCGATTTTTTGAGGGCTTTCAGCATTTAACAATGATATAGAGGAGAATTGATAAAAGATTTTGCAGTCGTGCTTCCTGAGGGAGCCAAGACAGGACTCCAAACCCCTGAAGACCGGATAGATGGCTAAACTTAAGATATCATGTCAGGCAGATTTGAGCCCTTTCGGATGGTTGGATTTAGAAGCAGCGGTAAATACATTAAAGGCGAGGCTTGAAGAGGTACTTGTCTGTGAAATGGCGCTATTAAATGTAAAATTATTTACTTTTACTTTGGTTAGGGTTGCGAATCGCACCTAGGAAGCCGTGCAACTTTTAACATGTAATGAAGATCGGTTGAAGTGAAGATGTGTGCACAGTAGTAGCTCGGCTGTAGGATGAACAGTAGGCTGTTGATCTGATCTGGTTCAGCTAATAGGGGCTAAAACCACGCATCAGAGAAAGAATCATGAGGCCAACAAGATAAAATGCCAACGGTGACAGAAGCGAGAAAACCACCCTCCGAACGACCCCAGTGAGGAAAGGAGAAGCAACCCAAGATGTACTAACGGTTCTCCAACTCCATACAAGAGGTGTCTGACATTCAGATGCATTTACGCATTCATAAACCCTTTTACATAGCCATGATTTTGCTATTTACGTCTCAATCTAAAGTTCCGACTCGATTTTATGGCCTGCAAGATTCTTGAACACCTATCATTCCACGTTACTTTGCCTTCCAAGTCTGCCTCCTTGTCTACACTGACTATCCAAAATTGTCCCAAATTGCTCCGTACTTTCTTATCAAACCTCCCATTCATCAGCATAGTAACACGTTCGATGACACGAGTTTTATTTACGCATTACCGCCTCCACCTGTGGCCAAATCAGCCACTAGAACAGCAGCCAAGGCCACGGTGAAGGACATGGCCACCGAGGCCAAGAAAGGCGACCACAAATCGCGTTTATCCAGGTAGTAGAGCACTCCGGCTAATGAGAGAATGGCCGCAATGATCGCCAAAACAGTGGCCACAATGTTTGCCCAACTGTCACCGTGAACAACCAATACAATCAAAAATATTCCACCAAGAAGAATCAGTAGTCCAGAGGTCAGAAGGAGAGCTCCTGTCACTTCATTTACCTTCGAGGTGATACAGTTGTCACTTAGTATACTTCCCCCACACGACCAGCCATTAAAACCGATGGCAAAGAAGAAAAGAATTGCGGATACGATGGCAATTATGATGTAGATAATTCTTTGGTCCATCGCTGCTTCCAAATGCTGTGGAGAATAAACGCATTGGTTAATTCAAAAGGAAAGTATTGATTTGTAACTTTGCAGCGCAAACAACTTGTGACATCATTGCCTTTTCTTGAATACTATCAATCCCCTGAGCACAAAAACGGACTTGCATGTCAAGTCGAACTAAATCAAAGTTAAATCGAGATAGCCTTTTGGAGGAGACACCAGTGATTCCATGCCTATGACGAATTCTTGACAAAACCCGAGGCTTGCAGAACAGCCATTCTTATATCTGTCAGCATGTTGTTAACATCGGTGTTTAAAATTAAGACGTTGCTTAAACCCAATGCGAGAATGGCTCTCTTGAAGTGGTTAGTTTTACTGTATGTGCTCACTCTCATCGATGGTCAAGTGAAGAGGAGACAGGGCCCCGATTCACTGTTTAGCAACATCATTCGAACCACACAATCAACACTGTAAGTTGAGAATAAGATTCTCTAGAAGATGGCTCCTTGTCTAGTGCTTTTAGTAGTAGAACAGGGATTACCCTCAACTCCTTCTCTGCATCATGCTCCTCTACTGATATGTATTTTAGTAGATCGCGAATTTTGCCTACCATGGAAACGCATTAATTTGTGTGTCCTTTTCTCTTCCTCAAAGGGGATGTGGCGTAGAGCATGAACTCTGTTATTTCCCAGAGACAAAATGTTCCCGTTTAAAGGATGCTAGTGCAACTGTCTGCATTAAGGCCTGCGAGCTATGCATGGCCTGTGTTCACCTACAGCGAGGGTCGATCATTCACCTCTGCCGACCGCACAACGTTATCTGCTGTAAAGACGGCGATTGCACCAACTTTTCCCCTTGCGCTTAACTTCTCCCATAAACTGGTCTTCCTCTTGGAGGGACCGAATTTTGGGCACAGATCAATGCTTTTAATATAGCATTACAATCGACCGCATTTAAGTCAAACTTTATTAGAGGCCATTTGCGTTGATCATATCCAATGTTTGTGAAAAGGTTTTTAGGTGACTTTAAAACCAATTCCAGTGTAATAGATGCTACGGCAGCCGATGTAAGAAAATAAATTCTGGTCCCATTAAGCGCACCACGTATTGATAAATTTGTTCATTTGGAAGTACAAAGGCTTTTGCAACATTACGCAACTAAACAAAGATACAAAATTCTAAAAAAATTTTGAAAATAATTTTTCTTGTATACTACGCCTGATGTGAATCCTCTCTCGGCAACTTGTGCCTAAAGAGTTCTTCTATCCATTCCTTCAGACGATTGGCATCCTGATTGTCAATGACATCAGGATAGACTGGCAACTCAAACTCTTCTGCAGTTTGAGTACCCCTTTCAATAGTAAGCGGTACGGTCTCCGTTTGAGTTGACTTCCATTGCATCAAATGTTCATGCGTCAGTGGAGAGACTGTTTGCATTCTGTGTCCTCCTTTCGGCGTATACAAACGCATGATTGGGGGAGATGTCTCACTGCTACTACATGCGGAGCCATCGCTATCATCACTTAATCCATTGCTTGGAGAATACTAAGAAGGAAAGAATATGTTAGTCTAACCAGTCTCCGCTTTATCACGATTGCGTATAAAACGAGATCTAGATTATTAGTTAACTCCCAGTCTATCTTTATACCTCCTTACCAAGCAAAAACTAGGACGACGTACTTACAATTGGTGCCCATAGCAATCTCTCCATTCGTGATGCTAGACTAAAAACAAAGTGCAATGCTTATTTACATGATTTCAAACTTTGAAAGGTCAAAAAATCTGCAATGCATTACCTCTGAGAGCTCCTTAAAAGCTGATCTTCTGGCGTGATTGGTATATTCTCACCTTCTTCGCTTTCCTCTACATCACTGACGTCACCAATCTGCCATGCTGTGGGCGAGTTTTGAGTGGATAAAATCTCAATGTCTTTACAAACAGCCAAATGTTGCATCTTTGGGTCAAAACCGCTGACACGTTCAGATAGAGGTTCGGTGACCTCACACACAGCTGACATCTTTTGTGGAAATTTCGCGCATTGGAGTTGGACTGGGGATGAACAAAAATCAAACTTTGTTTTGCCTTGAGAATTTCTTATTACATCTGGTCTATCCTCTTTGCTAGAAGATTCTTCCATTTCAGTAGTGTAAGTCATTTCGTATGTGCTGCACGAGGACAACGGAACCTTGTGACCTATTTTAAGTGATTATCAATTAAAACAAGTGGCGCACTGATCGGACTCAACTCTTCTGAGAGGAAGAAAGCAGACACTGAATCAAGATTCTTTGCCTGCCCTTCAATGCGAATTGTAGAGTTCTTGACTTCAAAATTGGGATCTCAAAGGTTACTGATAAAAAAGATCTACCGAAAGGGATTGACAAATGCGGCGAATCACTTCTAACGGCTAAAGCAGGGAAAAGAATGGCAATTAGAGAGCGTATTACAATACTCTAAGGAATAAAAAAGCACCTTCTCCTCTGTGAATTTCTGGAGAGGACGATCCATAAAACCGCATGCCGTGCCTTTCAGGCGAAACCAAATTTTCTCCTGAAGCAATATTTTCGCCCATTCACTCTGGCTTGTAGAAAAGTTTAATACATATAGCAATCTAATGATAAAGTCATAGGAGGGTACGCAATAGATATGAAAATCGAGAACCGGTGTCAGATGGTACCAAAATTTTTGTACATAAGCTTGAAAACCCTCATATTTTGTTAAAACAGCTTGAACTTACTATAAAGAGACTAAGAAAAAAATTGAAATAGTTTTTCTAATTTTCAATTATCATTGGTTATACATAAAGTACACAATCAATAAAATCCACCAGACCTAGTGAAAGAATTGCAATTATCCACACGCCTTATAAAAAGCATAGCAAAAATTGGAACTGAGTTCTTTACGAGTATTTACACCCAAGTAGTAGTTAGGCTTCGATTGCGCAATTCACAATCTATGAACAGATAAAAGTGTTTAAAATATCGCAATCCTATAGGCGATCGGAAACGTACAAACAAAGCAAACCATAAATGCCTTAGTATCTCAAGATAAGTCAAAAATAATCACTTTAAAACTCTTTCAATCAAAAATTTTTTGTCTCTGCAAATTAAGTTAGGACAACCCAAGTAATAAAGGAATTTGCACAAGTTGTTTGCGCTTGTTATCAATGTATTAAAACCAGAACATTCTTACGTAGCCTTAAATTGTTAAGATTCCTATACTTACTTTTATGATGTATTCACAGGTGCCGGTTCGATTTACAAACATTGTAATTGGCATCTCAGCAGGACTCAAGTGCAACGCTCGCCTTTGTATTCTCTCCCTGACCACTTAGATAGATCTTCACAACAGTTTCAGCGTATTACACCTCAGATTAAGGCATCTCAACACTGACCTTATGTGAATGTAGCAACCCCGGGTTTCCTACTATGCAGACGTCAATTTCGGCTAAATTCATGCATTCTAGGAGGATTCGAAGGGACAGAACCCGTCTTGGCTTGATGGCAAGCCAACGCATACATTGGCAAGAATGTAATACCAAAGTTGCCTTCCACATATTATAAGGTTACATAAAAATAAACAGGATATAACATCGATCATCTGTATAATTGGCCGTTAATTTGGTATTTGCCTGATACTATAGGGTGCAGAATAGCCTTATGGTTAAGCCAAAGCTCCATCTTTTCTTTGCCGTCTTTAAAATATGTATTCGGCACAAATTACTGCGTTCTTCTACTTAAGAAATAGCCTCGAGTCTCTACACTTTTAGCTTTTGAAATAATGCAGTCGGAAGACTAGTTATGCTGTCAAATAGACATGCATTAATAAAACAGTCAGTAATTGCGTGACTTATACGCCCACATGACTTCACAAGACCAATAAACGATATAATAATAGTTTATTGAAAAAAAACTTGTTCAGCATTTCTCTTACTCAAAGCAAATGCTTGTGTGATTATCTGTAAATTCAGCATTTGGCTAGCGACAACAGCTAAATAATGGTACGATCTTGATCTCTAGATATCGGGACATCATCATTTAGCCCCTCACTCTTGTTTAAGTCGTTTGACATGTGTTCGGACTCTACTTGTGATGCTGGTTTTTGCCCGTTTATTGCGCTTTTGTTGAGGGAGCTCATGTATTCCGCCATGTAGATGCAAACTTTGTTTTCCGTAAAGATGGCAATATTTAGTATCCGAAGAGCAATTGGTTCTGGTTAAAATTGGGGCAAACGAAACCTGATGACCAAGTCCTATTTGACTTAAATGGGTATTGCTTGTGATTTTCCGGTTTTAGGCTAATAGATCTGCAATTCTTAAGTTTAAACGATCCTATCGTCCTACTGTTCCTACGAATGGATTTGGTAATTTGAACTTCGGTGATATGTGTGAGAGTCGCCATAGAACTGACCACACGGAAATTGTTGGACCGCAAACACAACAGAGGCCTTGGTCGTAGTCTTGAATACCTGAAACGCTACTGTCGACTGTTCACAAAAACTGCATTTTGATATACTTGCTGCTTCACTCATCAAGAAGATCACTGGTGATGGCGGCAGCCTTGAATGTTGTAGCGGTGAGACGTGTCCACAACCCTATGATAGGGGCGGAGTGGGCGGTTTGATCTTTGGAGAACGGAGGCGTGAAGCGAGAGTTGATTTAACCAAACATTGCCATTCTTACGGCAGAAGAGGACTTCGGAGGCCTGAGGTTTGACGCTGCAGTGTGTTTCAACTGTGTTGTTGTGACAGATTTAATCTGATAAGTTATTAAACACATTTTCACAGTCCAAACAGTTCGTAGGAGCTTTTTCTGGATACTCGATAGTCTTAAGGCCTGCTCGGCCCTTCAAGTAGTGGTCACTGTTGTTGGATGTTTGCCACCACCTACATAGGTGTAGCTCATTACCTTACCGGGCGCCCTTTTATGTGTTTTATTTTGACGTTGGAAGCCAAAATTGCGCCTGATTTGGCTATCGTCGGTACGTGAATTATACGCTGTTTGCTGATCAACTCTGGGAGGGAAGAGGAAAGGGGTGGGGTTACGAGAGCTACCGATGGGCGGGCTATGTTGTAGAGTAGACAGGCTGGTAATAATGAGTAGGTACGTTGGGAATGAATGGGAAGTGAGAACTAGCAAGAGAATGGGCGGGTTGGTGCCGGGATTTCGCCATTAAAGGTGTGCGTGGTGGTTCTCACGCAGCGCATCGTTATTGCTTGTTTCGTCTTCAGTTGCCTTCAGCATTCACGCGACGTGGTGGGTTGGGTTTTCGTCTGGGCGAATTTTGTGCCGAAAAAACGTGAGAGTGTCATTCCATGCAAAGCCCAAGGCTCAAGGGAGTTAGTCTTGAGACAGGCTGTTCATTCCTTCGTGGTACCTGAAACCTGGTTCATCTGCATTGCGTAGTCACCTCCGCTCAGATATCCATTTGCTGTTCAGCCTCCTATTTAGCTACTAGACCGTCGGGAAAAAAGTCGTTTGTATTCCTCTTCCCATTTACTCACTGTAGGCGACGATCCGTGCGTGAACCGAGGCGTAACGTGAACCAATCAGCCGAGCGGTGATACGCTCAGCTCACACTGGTTGGCATACCAAATAGTGGGAGATTATGGATTTCTAGGGGTGCTTCACCCGCCTTCAGTCATGGAAGGAAGGGATTTTCACTAGTGTAAGTTTATTTTGTCGGACGGGCGAAGTGTGTAACTAGATCTGTAGACACTTAGAGCCCTTACCAGATTAAAAAATACAATGGTGGACAGATAATAGAGTAGGTTGCAGATCATGGGAGTATGCCCATGGAGGAGTGATGAATGGCAGGAGCAGGAAGGAGCAAAGCCCGTAGACCGGTAGTGAGATGATGAATGCACTCAACCAAGTGGATGGTTTAGAGGCCTCTTTGACGGCATACAATTTCGCAATCAGCGCTTTCAAGTGGTGCTGACTGTGTGGTTTCCTTTTCCATTTTTCAGAAGTACGTTCAAAGTCAATCTGAGTTCAAGAGTACGTGAAATTAAAAAAAAAGGGACATTCTTCCCCATGATCACGGCCATTCACCCAGCCGGAAGGCATGCCCTTACTCGTGTTTGCATTTGCAGGTCGAGTGGACTCAGTTTCGAAAGCTAGTAATGCTCATTATTCAGCAAAATGAGTGTCCGAAACTCTGTTTTCAATTTTGATTGCAAATTTTTCACGTGCCTAAATGATCTATGAAATAATAATCTCATTTTCTAGCATTTAATGGGACATCCGCTTGGACGTTAGGCCAGCTTTGTAGCAGTTTAAGTTAAAAATTTTTTAATAAACTTCTAAGTTAAAAGTTGTTAATTAAATTTGTTACAAATTATCGGAGGAAAGCCAACCTTATCGCGCAATTTCCTTCAAGATTTTTCCCAGATTTAGTAGGAACTTGCATGTTTAAAGACAAAGGCGCGATTCTCGGAGGTACATGGTGCAGACGTTGAACCTCCGGATTGGTCTGTGCTGGAGGTATCGCAGTACTGAGGACCCCGCCGTGATGGTGCACGTCGAAAGGAGTGGAATTTGGTGCCTCACCTTTCTGGTCAAATATCTGCAGACTTCAAATGCTACCGAAAGTGTTTAAAGGAACTGCTTCCGCCCTCCGCCCCATCTCCATCCCAAACAAGGTCGGTTTGGGCTTTCGTACAAATAAAGTAACAATTACTAATTACTGGAACCTTTGGTCCTCTTTCTCAACCAGCTCAAAAGAGTTTACCAGAGGAAGGAATTTAAGTGTTTATTTTCCTTGTCGATATGACATAATTAAAGGGACGAATTGTTGATCTGTGGTTGCATGTCTGATTAATGGTTAAATTTATTGTGAATTCGATTCATTTTTAGTAATGAAACTTTGATATTACTTCGTAATATTCTTGTGAAAATACAAAATTTTTAGAAAACAAACAGCCACCTGGCAGATAATACATTAATCGGTTTTGTTTGCCTTATCCGTATCGGTGACGGGAGATGTGGAAATTTTTCTGCCAAACATTCTCCTTTTGGAC